CCCACCCCAGGACCCAGGTGTAGCAGGTGAAGAAAGCATGTGGACAATGTGGTCTGCCCACCACAAAGGCCAGCTACAGCTGAGGTAGGCTCACAGGATACTCTGTTTATTTGTTTTTCTTATTCTCTCTCCCCACTGCATCATTTGCTCTCTGTGCAGTTTGCAGGCAGTTCTGGGAAACGGGCCCAGTTATCTACAAACAGGATAGGCTTTATTAGATTTGAAACATTTACCCAAAAATTGGGAGACGGCCTACTTTACATGATAAATCTATGATCAAACAGTTCAATAGTTTTACTCATTGGCTAACCACACTGAAAGGCAGTAGCAAAACAATGAGAAAGGAAATTCCTGAAGGTTTGCCTCGTAGATCAGTTTCTATTAGTGTTAGATTTTGTAGGCTGGTTTGTTTTAATGACAACTTGGAAATTTGGGAATCCCACAGCTACACTTCCTGGAAAAACCCCGAGAAAAAAGGGAGAGTTTGCAGATATGCGTTATTCAAAGCTCTGTTGATTGACTAGCATTTCTCAATGAACTGCAATTCAGCAGCCTCTTCTCTACTCTCTCCCTTTCATGTTTCTTTGCTCCACAGCAGCTACTGTACTTGAAGCTCTGTGAGAGTGTCCTAAGCGTAGGAATGCCCGCCAGTTCAGCAGCATCACATTCCTTGAGATTTCAGAGCTGAAGGATTGGGAGAGGGTTTAGAGCTGCTTCTGGATCAGTTAACTGTAGAACTACACATGCATGGAATCCAGACTAAATGAACCCAGAATCTGGGTAAACCTAGCTAAGCAGCTAATAGGACTACCCAGAACTGTAGGGTAAGGAGATTTTTGGTGGCTTACCTGGCAGCACAATGTGCCAACCAGCTGCAGCTGTATCATCTCAGCTTGGGTTCCTTGTTGGATGTTCACAACTTGTTGCAGTAGTGTTCTTTGTTACTTAGCTAGCTGTCTGACCAGAATGTCTTGTCTCTTGTTGGCCCATGCTAAACATCATTTGGCAGTCTCCTGGCAACTTGAGAGGCCCCGTCTTGCGTGCCAGTGTAAGCTCCACCAGTCCCCACTGGATCAGCAGCTATTCCATCTTTGAATCCATACACCTCTGATAAATGGGTTGAAATAAAATAAGTTTTATTGAACTGGGTGGGGGGTGAACAGCAACTGGTTCAAAACAGTCTGCTTCTCTTGGCCATAGCAAAGGGTTTATCCACTGAAGGTAAGCCCAGCCCTCCAGTACATCTAGTTTTCCATGTTAGACCTTAGGGTTAACAAGTCTGTAGAATCCTAAGTTCAGGGGGTCCCTGCCTGCTCCTAGCAGGGAGGGGTGGTATACCTGAGGAGGATTTCCATGTATAATAACAAGATATTTCTGGCTCTCATTGTTCTCCTCCTTGGTTGCTTCTCAATGTTGTTTTTCCAACTTCTCTTCTTGTACCAGTGTCAACCTGATGCAGGATTGGGCTTCCCCGCCTTCTTGCCTCTCCCATTTGCCCCAATATGATGGCGAGGCAGTCATAGGGTTCTCGTGTTTTCCCCCCTCTCCCTTAGGGACTCTGAATTATACTAATACCCCTCTCCATGGGTCTTCTTTATAAATGTAATCCTACTCTTCTAGGGGCTCTGGTTCTTCACCCGAGGATTTCTCAGCCAAGTAAGTCCTTGATCATTCCTCCTGGGCATCACCCCACTCTCCTTCCTCTAATTCTGTCTTGAGTTTCACTGAGCCCTTCATTTTTCTCTTCCCTTCTATACCAATTCACCTTTAGATTTCCTTTCAGTCTTTTCCAAGGCATCTTCCTCTTCTTCCTCTTGACCTGTCATGAATTCCCCCTTTCTCCCATCCCTCAAGGCTTTCTTTCCTTTCTGGTGTCTTTCTCTCCTCTACTTTGGATGGCAAAGCAGCTTTTATATCCCCTATGTGCCAAAGGCAAAGTAGCTCCTACCTCTCTCTTACTGGGCACCCTCCTATTTCTAAGGATGACACGCCCACATAGACCTCCATCTGAATTCTGCTTTCCTAGGAACTATATGCAGTAGCACCCTTCTGTTCAGCATTTTGCGTATCAGCCCACGTGATAGACTCATTAGAAGGTTGGCACAGTAATGCAGTCCAACTACCCTAATTTTCCACTTTCCTCCACATTCCCTTTTTCCTTTTCTGTCATTTATTTTGGCTGGAAAAGCAAATGATCTTATTTGATACAGCTTTTAGTCAGTAGCCTTTTGGTTGTAGAGCTGTTGATAGTGTAATGTAAAATGTGCAATATTTTTCCGTGTATACGACCCCCCCAACGTATAAAACGTCCCACCGGAGGTGGTGATCAGGCAAGCAGGGGAGGCAGGAGCAAGAGGCACCTGAGCTTTTGCTCCTTCACTTCCATTGCTGCCTCCTGCTGCCTCGGCCACCGGAGGGGACAAGCCGTAAGCTCTGGAAAAGGCAACTGAGCAGCAGTGGCAGCAAGAGGCGCCCGAGATCACGTGTAACTGCCTCCTTCCGTGTATAAAACAACCCTCAATTTTTCCTCTGATTAGTTTAGGAAAAAGTACCATTTTATACACGGAAAAATATGGTATATATTATACAAAGTACGATTTATAATAACACTGGCTGAAATCATCAACCATAACAGTTTTTAAAAAACAAAAAATTTCCAATCTTCTCCTAAGACCCTAAGGCTTCCTTGAGATCCTTTTCATCATGGGGAAACTGTTGGACATTGTGGGATGGGGTGGGGTGGGAAGTCTTGAATGTCCAAAAATTACCACTGTGAGGATGATTTCAAAAATTAAAGACGCCTGTCTCACCTCACGCCTCCAATACTGCCTCAGTGATGAAAGGGTCTCAAGGGACCATTGGAGACATCAGGGAATGGGGTGGGAGAGGTATCTGGAATCCTTAATTTCTGAAAAGCCACCACAGTTGATGGCATTATAAGCCTTACGCAGCATAGGTTACCCTACTGGATTTTAGCCAATGTCTCATGAAAAGCAGACCATCCGTAAGCAACATGTTCCATAACCACAGCATTGTATTATTGCTCCTTGTCCCCAGTCCTTATTCAACAAACAAAGGTATCTGGAGAATCAAAAACATTTTACAGTCAAACTGTTGTCTAGTCAAATGTGTTTAATTTTTATTTGTACATAATTGTCTTTGGTATCTGAAAAGTACAACAATCTAGTCTTTAAAAACTGTTTTCAAAAATATGTGTACATGAATACTGTAAGGGAAAGAAGAAATAAAAGATATACAGAATTACCTATTACCTAAACAGAAGTTTATCATTTAGAAATATACGAAAGTTTGAGTTTCTTTGTTTTGTCAACAGTGAACAAGATAATTCTTCTTTAAATGACAGTGCTGAAAGACTTCTTTCAACCTTGATGGCTGAACTACACAGTCCAGCTTCATACATTTCCCATTCAGTTGTACATGTGACTCCCTCCTTTTGGCACCCAAGAGAGTTCAGTAATATGAGTTTTATTAAATACCAAAATACAAACATCTGTTCTACATACATGGGCAATCTGATCTTGTACATTTGCTTTAATTGCAACTGGGTAAAGTGGAATGTGTAACACAGTTAGTGCAACTTCTGGAACCTGATAAGAGACACAACTTTGAGTGCGACTATATGGTCAAATATTGTGGGATTTGCTCCGCTTATAAAATGGGAGGATTCAAAGTATTTTTAATTGATTGTATTATGTAAAGGCTAATTCAAATTGGTCCAGCACTTTTTGCTCTCAAAGCAGCTTTTTCTCTCTGCTGCTGGGGGCTTCTATTTCTTCAAGCCGGAATGAATTGAATGGGTTTTTCCCCATGTGGTTAGCTGTAATATGTTCTTGTAAAGACAGGTGTCTCTCTGTAGATAGTGTCTTGGTGATGTGAGTAGTTGTGGGGGGGACAAGCAAAAGCAAAGCACCATAGTTTTAATGCAGGAGATCAGGTGCTAGTCCTGAATCCTTTCAGACCATGTAAGAAGGCCCTTTTGTTGTGAAACAAAAGCTTAGTGTTGTTAATTATTTAACTGACAGGTCTGAAGGTGTCATTTAAATCCCTTTCCCCCTCCCATCTGTTACTCTTTTCCCTTACTTTCAAGTAGCACAAGGATCCAAACCATCCCATGATCCACACTCTATTTTTGTCATTTGTGCCATCAGATATAGTGCTGACAGAAATTTCCAAAGAACTAATCATGGTGAAAGCAGAATGGCAAGGAGAATGGGGTGATTTCCTCCTCGGCCCACAGTGTCATATCACTCACTTTTCCCCTTGGTCCCCAAGACACCCTCCCAAAGACTACTGGATTGCAGCTTTGATCTCCTAAAACAGTGGTTCTTAACCTTGGGTTACTCAGGTGTTTCTGGACTGCAACTCCCAGAATCCTTTACCACCAGCTGTGCTGGCTGAGGTTTCTGGGAGTTGCAGTTCAAAAACACCTGACTAACCCAATGTTAAGAACCACTGTCCTAAAAGATTCCCTTAAACAGAAATCCACTGATAATAGAACTTAGCAACAGCTACCTCCAGCCACATGCTTCCCAGCTAGCATGACTGTTGGAGATGTTGGCTTTAGTCCAGCATATTTTTAACGCTCCAGCTTGGGAAAGGCAGATCTATTGATTTAAAGTGTGTTTTAATACTTTGGTCTCAAATCTGTTATGTTGTAATCTGAAATAAACTCATGCAAACTATTCTGCTGGACACAGGATTGTGCCTGTGATTGCCAATAGCACGCCTGTGTGGCTGACCTAGTGCAAACATGCATAACTGCCTCTACATTCTTATTTTGTGAATTAATTTCCCTTTCTGATCCCACACCTCTTCTTAGCTTTGCCTGGTTCTGCCAGTGTTCCTGAATTTAGCATACAGTAATTCTACTGATGCAGCTTTTATTTAAACAGAGATCTGTTGTAAGCCAAGCCATTGTCCAACATTTAAAAAGCAAAGCAGCCTTGCCAGAAAAAAGGGCAAAAAGTTCCTCTTTTCTATTGCCTTCCTTTTCTTTCTTTTCCTTCTCCAACTTTTCCTCTCTCTTGCTCCTGTTGCTCCCCTCCTCTTCCTCCACAGCTTTTACAAGTATGTGCACATGTACATGTGTAAAAGTACTATAAGTTCTGGCCTACCTAATAAAAGTTTTATACCTTTGGTATCACACGTTCTTTTGATATGATTTCCCACAAAGTGCTTATGAAAACAGTAAGAAAATTGCTCAAACAAGAGCAAATATGTCACCCCAAATGTTTAATCTGATACATTTGTTCTTACTGCCAGCTTGCAGGCACTTATGAAGGCAAAGTGTGTGAGCAAAGAAGAATCTGTCATGTCCGTCACTGTTGGCATCTTCGTGTCAGAGGTCACAGGCTGCACATCTAACGAAACACGGTTGCTATTGAAACAGCCACTCCAAGTGGCGATGAGTAGGCATTGGCTAAACCCTGGAGGCCAAGGATCAGATAACGACAGCCTTTTTGCAGTGCTTTGCCTACATTCTGAAAGAAAAATGGATAAACACCATTAAAAAATGGAAACCACTCAGCAAAATTATTTCATTTTGTTGCTTCTCTCCTACTGGATGGCTGGGTGCCATCAAGGCTATCCTGATTTTGGATGTGGCATCCTGGGAATTTCCAGATTCTTCAGAGAATATCTTTTTTCCTTCCAGCACTGTTTTTTAAATTTATTTTACCCTGAATGGTCAGCTGTGAGGACTTGCATGTTTTCATTTCAGTCCCTGACTGTAATATTATCTACAAGGCTTGAAAAATGCACTCGTCCACTCATCTGTGAAGAGTGAAAAATGCTGCTGGACGAGTCACAGCTCCCTCCCAGCCTGCCTCCTTCCCCTCCGACTGTCTGTCTGTCTCTCTCTCTAATCCTGCAGTCCTCCCCTTCCCCCTCCCATTGCAAAAGAAAACTGCCCTCTTCTTGTGAGAAGAGCGTTTGACATATAACTCTGTAGGAGAATGTAGACTAGTCCCATGCTGGAGAATATAGAGATTCCCTGCTCCCAATTTCAACCAAACAAAGACACATCCTGGGGTGAGAGGGAACAATGGCTTCTTAAGAGGCTGGGCGCTTTTGCTTTCAGTTTTATTTTTGCTGGAGACGTTCAAAAGAAAGGCATTCAAAATGCAAGCTTCATGATCTTGCAGGCATGCAGGTAATAAAACAACGCAAGTCTGAGGGTATAAATCAGTGATTCCCAATAAACTGCAAGGCTATAGTCTGTTCATGCTGACTGTTGAAAGTTTTGACTGACTGGTGAGAAATTCAAAATTTTTTGAGCCCTCATTATTCCTGCACTTTATGAGTTTTGCAATTACAGTGGTGCCTCGCATTATGATGTTAATTTGTTCCAGCGAAATCGCTGTAGAACTAATACGTCGTATTGCGAAATTAAAAAGCCCATAGAAATGCATTAAAACCCGATTAATGCATTCCTATGGGCTTGAAACTCACCGTCCAGCGAAGATCCTCCATAGCGCGGCCATTTTCGCTGCCTGTGCAGCGAGGAATCCGTCCCAGAAAAGAGCGGGGAGCCATTTTTTTAACCCGGTGGCCATTTTGAAACCGCCAATCAGCTGTTTTAAAATCGTCGTTTTGCGAGAATCGGTTCCCAAAGCTGGGAACCGATCATCGAAAAGCGAAATTCCCCCACTGAAACCATCATAAAGTGATCGCTTTTGCAATCGCAAAAAGTTCGTTGTAATGCAGTTTCATCGTTAAACGGGGCACCCCTCTTGTGACGCACCACTGTACTTTGTCTTTATTTATTAATTTTAGTTGATCCTCTTCTTGAGCCAAAAAAATGCTCTTTTCCCCCTCCTTTTCCCTTCCGAGGCTTGCCGAAGGCTGGAGGAAGAGGCGGGAACTTTAAAATTGCTTTCAGTCAAGCCTCTCCAAACGCCGATCGCTGAGCAGAGGGACCCGCGCGAGTCCTCCCATGCTGCAAGGTAAGCCCGGGNNNNAGACAACGTCGAATAACAAGGAGGACCACAAGCTGGATGTTATCGGTGATGGTGCAGGAAAAGCCTCCAAAGTGCTCTAAAGCGGGTGCGGGTGGTTTTGGGGCACCCCTGCCAGGGTTCTGATGGCTTCTCCTGCACGATCAGAGCCCTGGTGGTGGTGCCCCGAAACCACCCGGCCGGCTTTAGAGCACTTTGCAGGCTTTTTCTGCACCATCAGAGGACTAGTGGGGGGACCTCCAAAGCTTGTGATTGCGGGGAGGGGACCCCCCGCCATTCCTCCCATGGTGCTTCCCCAGCTCCCTAACCCTTAAGTTCCTTTTTTTTAAAAAAAATTCCCCTAGGAACGCATTAATTAATTTTAAGTGCATTCCTATGGGAAATTTGGTTTCGCAAGACGATGTTTTCGCAAGATGGCGATTTCTATGGAACGGATTAACATCGTCTTGCGAGGCACCACTGTACTAGAATCTGGATCTCCTTGGTTCCACGCGAACACTAATTATTACGCAACACTGGCAATGTAACAGTTGAAGAGTCAAACTCAGATTTGAGAGCCTGAGGTCAAAATCCACCCTCCAGTAAATCACTTCTGAGCATTTTTTTAAATCCAGAAAACACTGTAAATGGTCACCATAAGTCGGAACCCACTTGGTGGCATGTACTTATTAGCCAGGCAGCTAATAAGTACACAATCCGTTCCAGGTCACAGGTTTATTGTGAGAATAATATGGAGTGGGATGAAGCTCTTGTATGCTACTTGAAAAGAGAAGCCAATATACATATAGACAATCAACAGGGTCTACAAGATAACAATACCATATGGATTTCATCTTGTGACTTTGGATGTGACTTAAAATGGTCAAAGGTAATGTTTACTTTATTCATACTAGCCTTAGGGAGAAAAAGGAGTTGAAAACAACAACCTGTGGATGATGAAAACAGCCATTCCAGCCATTCCAATGTGATTCATTATTTAACACATCAAACAGCCCCAGCACTGGCTCATGCAAGGATGCTGTACTAGCACTGCAAATATTCTAAACTGGAGGAGTATATGCACTTGAAATGAAAATCTCAGGAATCCAAGTCATTTCCTTTAGTCTGGGGAGGGTTGACTTTGCAAGAGGTTATGCAATGTCAATGTCTGCCTTGCTTGGCCACAGAACCATGGCCATGGTATGCCTAGGAAGAAATCACTTGTTGATCCTTCAGCAAGTCTGTGAAGGGATTATAAGAACAAGTTTGGTATGTTTTCCTTGGAGAAGATATGACTAACTAGTAATATGACAGCTCCCTTTAAGAACATGCAGTGTACCACCCTTGTTGAACCTGTTACATTTTAGAATGCAACATTTTAAATGATATTTTTGTAAGCAGATGACTTAACTAAAAATAAATACAGAATTTTAAAAATAGCCGCCTTCAAATATTTGAAGTGTTGTAAAACTATGGGTTGTTCGGAAATAAACAGATGTGCCTCAGCACCTGATTGTCCTGATATGTAGCTTGCATGGTGGACAAGAATCCACCATTAGGACAAAATATGAAGAGAAAGAATGGTTTCCTTATAAGCAAAGGTTTCAGACAAGGGTGCATTTTATCCCCTTATCTGTTCAATCTCTATCCATTGTATGGAAAGCCAGACTCGATTCAGATGAAGGATGAGTGGAATTTGGCAGAAGAAACATTAGTAATTTAAGATACGCACATATGAAACAATCTAACTGGCAGAAAGCAGCAATGACTAAGAGAAAGACTGGTTTCCTTATAAGCAAAGGTTTCAGACAAGGGTGCATTTTATCCCCTTATCTGTTCAATCTCTATCCATTGTATGGAAAGCCAGACTCGATTCAGATGAAGGATGAGTGGAATTTGGCAGAAGAAACATTAGTAATTTAAGATACGCACATATGAAACAATCTAACTGGCAGAAAGCAGCAATGACTTGGGACAAGTTTTAGTGAAAGTGAAATAAGAAAGTGCCAAAGCAGGATTGCAGTTCAATGCTAAGAAGGCAAAAATCATGACTAAAGAAGAACACAGGTTTAATGTTGACAATGAAGAAACTGAAATAGTTTGATTCTGTATACCGTGTTTCAATCCAAATAGAGACTGCAGCCAAGAAATCAAAAGAGGACTGATAATAGGAAAGGTAGCAATGAAAGAATTAGAAAAGATAACCAAATGTAAGGATGTGTCACTGGAGACCAAAATAATCTGCACTGTTGTATTTCTGATCATCATATATAGGTATGAAAGCTGGACAGTTAAGAAAGATGATTGAGGGGGGAATGATTCATTTGAAATGTGGTGTTGGAAGAGAGCTTTGCAAATATCCTGTAATGCCAGGAACACAAATAAGTGGGTCCTGGATCAAATCAACCTTGAACCATCTCAGGAGGCAAAAATGTTGAAACTGAGGCTGTTCTACTTAGGACGCAGCATGAGAAGGCACAATTCCTGGAAAAGACAATAATGCTGAGAAAAGTGGAAGGCAGCAGGTAAGAGGAAGACCAAATATGCGATGGATTGACTCCTTAAAGTAGACATCCCCAACCCCTGGTCCGCAGCATGGTGCTGGTCCATGGCCTGAGCCGAGACAGACTGCCCCCACCCTCGCACGCACACACCCCCCACAGCCCCTTTGTGCATGCACGTGCATGCCTGCACCCACGTGAGCACTCCCCCACCCTTTTGTGCATGCGTGTGAGTGCCCCCGAGTGCTGCACTGCCCTTCACATATGCACACAAGCCCACGAGTGGCACCCTTCGCACATGCGTAGAAGCACGCACACACCTGCACAAGCATCCTCCTGTTCCTTTGTGCATGCGCCCACATGCCTGCTCCTTTACGCATGCGCACGAGTGCAGGGGTGCCCCGCCTTCCCCAACCAGTTCACAGGATTAAAAAGGTTGGGGACCCCATTTTAAAGCAGGGGTCCCTAACCCCCAGTCCATGGCCCAGTGCTGGTCCGTGGCCTTCCTTGAACTGGGCTGCAGACACTGATCTCCACCCTCCTTTTCTGCATGCGTGTGAGTGCCCCGAGTGCCGCACCGCCCTTCACACATGCACACAAGCCCACATGAGTGCCACCCTTCGCACATGCGCAGAAGCACGCACACGCCTGCACAACCAGTGCCCCGCCTTCCCCAACCAGTTCACAAGATTAAAAAGGTTGGGGACCCCATCTTAAAGCAGGGGTCCCTAACCTCCAGTCCATGGCCCGGTGCTGGTCCGTGGGCTTCCTTGAACCAGGCTGCAGACACTGATCTCCACCCTCCTATGGCCACCGGTGAACGCAACACGTCCACCCGTGAGCACAGAGGTGCCCCCACCCCCTTCCACATACAGAGCCAGCATCCCCCAACTGGTCCACAGTCCGAAAAAGGTTGGGTACCGCTGCCTTAAAGGACCCACAGTGTTGAGTTTACAAGATCTGAGCAGGGCAGTTGAAGACAACATTTTGGAGATTGCTCATGTATAGGGTCACCATAAGTCAGAGGACCTCCAGTCCATGGCC